GAGGGAGAGTGTGGCTGTTGTTCTGCAGCAATGCCAGGAACACCTAATGTCTTACATGTCTACGTCAACTTTGGAATAGCCCAGTGGACACTCAGGTGTGAGAATCTGTGATTGTGCAGGCCTACCCAGCTCCATTTTACATACAAATCCAAACCATTCTGGGTGCTTTATACATTGTCACTGCTTGTCCAACAGGTGGAAGACAGCTGTTGTTCAGAGTGTGAATCACAGACCAAGCAAAGGTAGCATGAGGGATTAGGAACTGTGAAGTGTTCATTATTGTGTGTGTGTTGTAGAATAACACGCAGCACACAGTTTAAATGCATGTATGTATATGAACATGTGCATGTAACTGTCACCTTGTGTAGATAGAAGTGTCTGCATAGTTGGAAACAGGATAAGCATTTTAAATGTGTCATTGTGTTTCCATGTATACAATAAACACAAGTCGAGAGTGTCCAGAAAAGCTGGAATCATAGGAAAAGAGTGTATTCATTATATTGTCAGGTTAACAGCGGAGCCTTTTTCTTTAAATTTAGAAGCATTTCATGTGGGAGGAAGAACGAGAGAGAGAGAGAGAGAGAGAGAGAGAGGATATACCCTCTTGATCCGAAGACCTCCCAGTAGGCCTCCCCTCAGTCTGCCTGGTGACCAAGCACACTGGCTTTTGGGGAACATTCTAGATCCAAACTATCACCATTCACTGAGAATCTCCACCTAGGATAGGCCTAAACATGCTGATTTGAGAACACACTGCTCTTATACAGTGGTAGTTACGATTGCTACCTAATAAATAGCTCAAAACTTAACAGTTTAAAACAGTAGGTACTTGTTACCTCCCCTGTGATTTCCGAGATCATTAACCTGGTGGCAGAGGCTTTAGTTCCTCACAGCAGGAACTTGGTACCTCTCAGCTGCTCCTCCCAGAGTGGAGGGAGAGGGAAAGCACTCAAGACAGACTCATCTGTGTTAATGGTTTAGTCTTGGAGGTGGCGAGCTGTTAGTAGAGCTGTAAGCTGCTGGTCCTCCAGAGGGAACTGCCTGTGGGCTTGTGCACTAGCAGCTGGGGCCCTTCAGGTCATTGGAAGCTGGCTAACACACATGGATGCTATGTTTTTGGAATATACACATAAAATTTACCGTGTTGGGGCTGGAGAGATGGCTCAGCAGTTAAGAGCACTTGTTGCTCTTGCAGAGGACCAGAATTTGGTTCCCAGCACCTATGTCAGGTGGTACCACCCTTAGGCAGGTGGTACTGGGTGTATAGAAAAGCTGGCTGAGCCCGTGCTGGTGGGGTTGGAGCTGGTAAGCAGCATTCCTCCATGGCTTCTGCCTCCAGGTTCTGGGAGTTCCTGCCCTGATTTCCCTCAGACGAACTGTGGCTTGGAAGTGTAAGCTGAGTGAACCCTTGTCCTACCAGGTTGCTTTTGGTTGGAGAGTTTTATTACAGCAACAGGGAGCAAACTAGAGCAGTATATTGTGCTGTTTGGGGAGTGTTCTGCACATGTATGCTGGGTCTATTGCTTTGGGATGTTGTTCACATCCTCCACTTCTGAGTTCATGTTCTCTCTACTTGATCTGTCCTTTGTTACAAGTGTGGTATTGAACTCTTCCAGCTGTTACTATCAAACTGTTTCTTGTCAGCTTCAAAATCATGTATTTTGGCGTTCTTTCTGGTGTACGTATGTTTAAAAATTGTTAGATCTTCTGGATGGATGATTATCCCTTTTGTAGATTCTCTTGTAATAATTTTAATGCGCTAGGGATTGAATCTGGGGCCTCACATCCATCGGACAGGTACATACTCTACCGATAAGTGGAATCCTCAGCTCCACTAGAAATCTTTGACTTAAAGTCCATTTCATCTCAGTGTGAAGGCCCAGGCTCTTTTGATTTCTCTGTGTGGAGTATCCTACATGTGCAGCCCTTCTCAGTGTCTGGATCTAGAGGATTGTCTCTTGTAGGTGTGATATGATTGTTATTTTTTTGGTTTGTTTGCTTTTTGTCTTTTTTAAACAGGGTCTCCCTGTAGCTGGCCTGGAACTCACTGTGTAGACCAGGCTGGCCTTGAACTCAGAGAGATCCGCCTGCCTCTGCCTCTGGAGTACTGGGACTAAAAGAGTGTGCCACCACGCCCAGCAGATGTGATATAATTGGATCATGTCTTTTTTATCCATTTGCCACTTTCTGCTTTGAGTTGCAGAGTTTAACCTATTGATATTTAAAATAAAATATTTAAAATAATAAGGAAGGACTTAGTTTTAGCATTTTGGTATTCTGGTATTTGCTTTCTCTCTCTCTCTCTCTCTCTCTCTCTCTCTCTCTCTCTCTGTGTGTGTGTGTGTGTGTGTGTGTTTTTCATTCAATTTCTTCATTACTGCTTTTAAATTAATCTTTGTAGTTTATCATTTGTTTTTGGAATAATTTTTAATTAGTGGTTTTCTTGGAGATTACAATTTATGTTTTAACTTTATTTGAAACCAACTTCATTTTAACACAGCTTAGATGCTCCTTCCCCATGTATTATGATCACAAATTGCATCTTTACACATTGTGTGCCTAATGGCATGGCTTACAATGCCTCATGCTATTGACTTTTAGTGATATGAGTGTGAAGAGCACTGAGAGGTACACCGACCTGGCTCTTGCACTCCCTGTGTGGAGAGGCTGCTGCTCTTTTCTTCTCATGGCCTCAAAGTGCTGTCTAGTGTCTTCATATCAGCTTGAAAGACTCTTCTGGATCAGAAATGGGCTAGGTGATGATGGCCCAGTTGATCAAGTGCTTGCTGTACAAGCATGGGGACCTGAGTTTGGATCTCCAGAGCCTAGGTTAAAAATCCAGAAGTTGGGGCTGGAGAGATAGCTCAGCAGTTAAGAGCATTCTTACAGAGGACCTGGGTTCGATTCCTAGCACCCACATGGTGGCTAACAACCATCCATAGCTCCAGTTCCAGGGATCCAATGCCCTCTTCTGACCTCTGTGGGCATTGAACAACATGGGTGCACCTACCTACATGCAGGCAATACACTCATACACATAAAATAAAAATAATGATAAATAAAAAATATTTCTAAAAATCCAGGCTTGGCAGACCATGCCTGTAATTCCAGCATGGGGGACAGGGCAAAGATAGTGTGGGGGGGGGCAGGGGTAGTGGGGGATTGCAGAGGTAGTAGGAGCCCTGGGGCTTTTTGCTCAGCCAGTCTAGCTGAATCCTTGAGCTCCGGATTCAGTGAGAGACCTTGTCTCAGAAAATGAGATGGAGAGTGATGGAAGAAGACAGCTGGTGTCAACCTTTGTCTTCCATGTGTGTCCATATACACACATATGTAAACATGTACATGTACCATCCAAAAAGCGTTAAGGAAGTACGGAAAGAAAAATTCATGTGATTGGCAATCTAATCTAAATTATTTTCCACCAGAAATTCCATCTACATATGGCCTTCATAGAAGTGATTATATTCTAAGTTCAGATAATGTTTAAATTTTTTTTTTTTGTGTGTGTGTGTGTATGTGTAATGGGGAAGGGAGTCCACGCATGCCACAGAGCATGTGTGGAGGTCAGAGAACAGCTTTGAGGAACGGGCTCTCTGTTGGACTCAGTTCATCGGGTACACAAGGCAAGTGCTTTGCCCACTGAGCCGTCTCACCAGCCCAGGCTTTGCTTTTAGAAATTTCAGAATAATTTGAAAATAAAGTTTTAGCCCGTGTTTAAGTCTTGGATAATGTTCAGGATGATGACTGTGGTGGCTCTCAGATGAACTCTGGGTGCTCTTTCAGGGCTGCACAGACTCCTGCCTGCTAGCTGAAGTGTCTACTGTTTTGATTATTTTTGTTCTTTTCTATTTTTAATGATGGAAACAAATTCCACACTAAAACTGAAGCTTCTGGAAGAACCACTTGTTCTTGCCCCTCTTGTAGCACTCCTCAAACTTGACCTTGGCCTCTTGTCTGGCCTTGCAATTCAGAGCTTGGTCTCTAAAGACATCCTTGTTGACAACAGTTTTGTCCACAGAGTACCTAGTAGGCATGAGATGATTGTAGTTACAGACAATAACGAAAGACTTGATCTTTGACTTCTTGGCGATTTTCTTCTTGCCAATGGTGGCTGTCACTTTCCTGGGATAGCGGTTATGCCAGCCACCAGGGTATGGCTACAGGGACGGTCTGAGGTGCCATCATCAATGTTCTTCATGATGACAGCTTTGCGTCCAGAGTAGCGTCCGGCTAGGACCAGCACCGCCTTCCTGGGTTTCATGAACTTGCCCATTTCTGCAGACAACAAGAACAGGGGCTGCTCAGAGAGTCATAAAGTAGAAGATCCCCAGCTGACTTCTGCATACCAGCCCAGGTCATAGGCCAGGAACTTCAGAAGGCTCACTGGCCCGAAGGGTCCTTATTTTTATTTTTTTTGTGTGTATGAGTGTATTGCCTGCATGTAGGTAAGTGCACCTGTGTGGTGCAGTGCCCATGGAGGACAGAAGAGGGCATTGGATCCCCTGGAACTGGAGTTACAGTTACAGGTGGTTGTTAGCCACCATGTGGGTACTGGGAATTGAACCCGGGTCCTCTGCAAGAGCAGCCAGTGCTCTTAACTGCTGAGCCCTTTCTCCAGCCTCTGAAGTGTATAACTTTTAATTATATGCTGCTGTTTTGAGATTTCATAGTCTTTTTATTTATGTTGATAAATTTAATAAAGTACTTAATAGATTACAAAGCATTCTAAGAACTCTTAGGCTAAGGTGAATAGCCCTAACTGATTTGTGTTCAGACAGCATCTGAATACCTTTTTTTTTTTTTTTTTTTTTGGTCTTTTTGAGACAGGGTCTCCCTGTAACCCCAGCTGTCCTGGAACTCACTATGTAGACCAGGCTGGCCTCGAACTCACAGAAATCCATCTGCCTCTGCCTCCCGAGTGCTGGGATAAAAGGCGTACGCCCGGCTCTGAATACCTTTTATGATTGGTTAATTAAATGCTGTTTGGTGGTTTCTTGCAGCTTCTCGTGTGGAAAATTTGAAATGCCAAGGGGAAGTCATAGCTAAGAAAATGAGTGATGCCATGAAGGTAAAGTTTCATGCTAACAAATGTATAACGAAAAGGATATGTGGTTGCGCTAGCTTTCAACCTCCACACGTGGGCTTCTGTGGTGGGAATGCTGGTCAGGCTACGGAGACGACAGTGAGTTTGCTAAGCAGCTACATTCAGAATTGTATTTACAGCATCTACTGTGAGCCACATAATCTACCTGGCTTCTCTAGTGCAGCTGTCCTCCTGAGCTGTGTGGACAGCTGTAGACACTTGGGATAACACTGCTGACATTTATTGAGCACTTGGTGTGAGCCAGGCGTGTCTGTCTGATTTCCATTTCCTGTCCTTTTCAGTCCTCATACTAACCCTAGGAGGTAGGTATGTTACTTCCCCCATTTGTCGATGAGGAAACTGAGGTGTTAAGAGACTAAATAAGTTACACAGATAAGTAACTGAATCAGGACTTAAACCCTGAGGTCTGGCTTTAGAGATTGCTTGTTTGTGCTGGGCTTAAACGAGGGCCTGACATATGAGCGCACACTGTACCAAGTAGAGCTCTAACCCTAGAATCTTATTCTTAACCCACTGTGTTATCTTCCAGCTGGGGAGTTATAAAATCAGGGTAAAATTGTTTGTATTATGACATTTATTTTACCTGCAAACGAAAAATCGGGTTCATTGTTGGTTTTGAGACAGGGCCTCACTGTGTGCTGGCCTCAAACTTGGTGTCCTCTTGCTTCAGTTTCCTGACTGCTGGGATTATAGGCATGGACTGGGCCTGACCAGGAGCAAGCCCCACAGAGTCTAGACTGCTGTTCTATGTACTTACTGTTAGTGCTTTATAGTAAAGGGTTGCCTGCTCTGCGTGATCAAGATTCGTAAAGCACTCTTCATCAAGTGTGAGATTTCAGACTTCACAGTCTTAGCTCTGAAACTCTTCTCACTCCTGTCGTGCTGAATTTAATGTTACTATTTATTTAATTGTTGTGGGACTGGATCATATCTTTTCAGTGCTAGCTTTTAAAGTTTCTAAGTTTAAACTGATATTTTTTAAAGCAGAGTCAAATGTCCATGACCTCAAGAACCCTCGGCTCTATCCTTGACCTAAAGAATTAAAATGTGTTCATCTCTCTGTTCATCTTCCAACCTGAGTTTTTTTTTCAACCCCCCAAGGCTTTGCCTGCATTAATTGAACAAGGAGACGGCTTTTCCCAGGTCTTAAAGATGCAGCCTATCATTCAGCTGCAGAGGGTCCACCAGGAAGTCTTTTCCAGCGGTTGCAGGAAAGCAGGTGCCAAGCCCAAGAGCTTTGGAACAGAGGTAGAAACCACACCCCCGGAGAGCAGTGGCAGGAAAAGCTCCAACGTGGTGCTGAGGACAAAGCGAGCCCAGGACTGCCCCCAGAGAAAGTGCTACCCGTCGCGGCCAAAGAGAATCCACCTGGAAACTTAGGCTCTGTGTGTTTGTGGGGGGTTGAAAGTCGGTGCTGTTGGTTGTCGATCACTTACAGCCCGTATCACAGGCTTCGAATCGTTTAAAGCAGCAGCCGCTCTGCCGACACCGCTCTGCCGACACCGAGCCGCACTCTGCGCGTTCCTGCGCCGTTTGTTTCTTTAACCTCTGCAGTAGGTGAAAAGCCTTCTGAGTGTTGCCACAGGCCTGTCAGTGTCAATCTATTGTCCTCAGGTGCTTACAGTGTTTGTGGAGCCCCAGGTGTTTGCTCCGTGGGGTCTCCTTAGGAGGGACTTTCTCTCGGGGCGGGCCAGGCGGTGGGTCTTTAAAAGAACTGATGCGGCTTCTGCACCCTGCATGCGGGTTTTGAGGTGTAGTTTACCAGATTGGCGAGCAGATGACAGCATTGGTCTACTGCATTCTACAGTTGATTTGGATTTGTGGGGTCTGTTTTAGGGTTTGGTTTTGTAGAAGAAAACTATTATTTGTACAGATGAATGAACCCACCCGGAGCCGATGTTTCCAGCCTGTGCTTTTGCTTCCCTGGATCTTTGAACATGTTAACTTGGAGCTAAGGTGTTTGGCTTAGAATCCTCATTTCTGAATAGATCCTTCTAGTTCCAAGTTTTCAGTAGGATTGCTGCCTTGGCAGGAGCCACTTGACAACACATGCTGCAGGGCAGGGCGTTTGTGGAGCTGTGGCCTCCTTGGGAGTGTGGGCAAGGTCTGCAGCAGAGCCCTGCCCGGCCTTCTCAGCACACTGCCGCTACTCAGCACACTGACCCCTCTGGCAGCTTTTGTTCTGTCTCCTGCACTACATGGTGTAGACAGGCCTCTAACATCACCAGGTTTCTTTCTCTGTGGCGGCAGGCTTTGGTCCGTCTGCAGAGGAGTTACTGATCATGATTGGAAAATCCATGTTGCTCTTGCTTGTTAAGTCCTGATAATCAAACACCCTGGTGTGAAGCCACTTCATTGCATTCTTGATTCTGTGTTTTAATGTTACAATTTGAGATCTGTGTATTTGTATGTAAGTGTTTTTTTTTAAATTAAAATAATGTATAAAAACCAAAAATCTTGACACTTCTTTTTAGCAGTTGCCAGGGCATTCCTGATGCCAGCTTTATAGGCCAGAACTCAGCACTCTGCCTCACGGAACACACTGGCTTCGCTTCATGCTGCCGTGAGACTCTGGTACAGCAGTTCCTACTGTGTTAAAATGCCGTGGGATTGATCTCACCTCAGAAGTCCTAGGTGACAAGGCCAGGACATCAGTCTGTGAGACAATATGGTGGCTCCCATCAGCAGCTCCACGGGGATGGGAGTGTGAGCCTTGGGGAGCCCCACCAGACCATCCGACCAGACTCAGTAGAGTCTAGTCTTGGAAGGCCTCCTGCCACCCTCAGGATCTAAGATGATTCTGGGAGCAGCTTGGAGTCAGTAGAAGATCCTCATGTGGCAAAACACTCAGCAGTGAGCTTCAAGGCTCTGAGTCCTCAGAGTCTAAAGGGACCCCAGGAGACACCTGGGCTCCTCTTACAACCAGAATGCTTAAGGAGGGGTGTTGCTTCCCAGGGGACTTTTGGTAATGTCTGGGGACATTTTGTTCATCCTGGCTTGAGGTATGGGGTGCTGCTGTCACCTAGTGGTGATGCTGTACACGCCCTGAGGTCCTACACAGCACCTGTGCTGGCATGACGGCTGATCTGCCTCTAAGCCAGTGATGCTGAGGATAGGCCTGTCGAAGGGACAGCATCACAAGGGTGTTGTGATGATTGGAACCCCCCCAGCCACCCTGGAAGCACTGGTTTTCCTGGCTGCACTAGCTCTTGTCTAAATACCCAGGTCTCAGCTGGACATGGTGGTTCATGCTTTAATCCCAGCACTTGGGCAGAGCTGTGTGAGATCAAGTCCAATCTGGTCTAAACAGTGTGTTCTAGGCCAGCCAGGGCTATAGGGAGACCCTGTCTCAAACAAAACCAAAAATCCCCAGAAAACCAAATACTCTGCTTTCTGCCTTCATATGACACGTCATAATATGCTGTTAGTAGTAAAGCCAGACTGTAGAATATATATTTGAAAATCCCCAGAGAATTCATTCTAGTAGGTTATATAAGGTAATTGCATTGTTATGCTTTAAGGGGTGCATGTTGACAGATGTCTTGGATTTGCTCTGAAGTATTTCAGCAAAGAAAAGGGACACATAAGCAACTGTGGCAACATACTGGTGATATTGAGTCCCTGTGAGAGAATTGTTGCTTTGTCCTGGGCATTTTATAATTTTTTTTAAAGTTTATTTTGTTATGAAATACCAGACAGACCGTGAGAACCCAAGCTTCTGCCGACAGTCACCACACACCCTGGACGGGAGGAACGGTCTGTCTGCACAGGCCAAGAGGTAGCAGGATAACTGGTGACACTAACAGACTACTTTGAGGGGATGGGGGAAAATTGGAAACTTTATCCTTCTACTGGAAAAGAAGGCTGGATCCGGAGGGTCCTAAAAATGCTCTGTCAGCAGAAGGTGGACACAAGGTCAAATCTAGTCCCCAGGAGGATCGAGCCCTCAAGCAAGCTTTGCAAACTCCAGAGTCTGCAGTTGAGGGCCAGTGAGATGGCTCAGTGGGTGAGGGAGCCTGCTGCCAAGACTGACAACTTGAGTTCCATCCCCAGGCCTCACATGGTAGAAGGAGACAGCTGACATCCGTAAGTTGTCCTCTAACCTCCACACGTGTGCTGTGGCACGTGTGCCCCCCGCCCACATAAATAAACCAAACACTGATGGCTAACTTTCATACACTAGAACCACTGAATGGCATACTTCACAAGGAACAGGAGGTGACGTCTGTCTCCAAAAGGAGAATAAAGGAACAGAAACATCCCTAGAACTGAATGCCATGTGCTGTGGTTTGAATGTGGGGCAGCCCTCCAACTCATGTTGGAGCCTTGTCTCCGGTGTAACAGTGTAGGGGTGTCAGGGCCTTCAGGAGGTCATTAGATCTCGGGGCTCCACCCTCATCAAGGGACAAACATATTCCTGCAAGAGGGGCTTGATCGACCTCCTCACTCCCTTCTTGCTTCCTCTCTTGCCACAGCATCTCTGCACAAACCCACTTGTTCTTCTGCTTTCCCACCGTGAAGGGATAAGCACAGGGCCGTCGTCAAAGCCAGGCAAATGCCCTGGTGTGCTTACACTTTAGACCCTGGGCCAGATAACAAACTAGGCAGCTAATATGGTAAAGCAGAAAGGTTATCTAAGAAAAGAAATGCAATCACAGCTGCAGATCGGTCTCGTGGAGAACCTTTACACAGCAACAGTATCTATTCAATGAAGAATTGGGACGGTTGTACTGGAAGCCAAGAGCGTAGGAATTAGATAGCCAGACGTTGAACAGTTGGACTACATTGGTCAGACACTGAAGCTGGTCTGGAGACCCCCAGGGTCCTGAGGCATGCCGGGTGTCGATACAAAAGCACAACTCCTCAGAAGGGACAACAGTTTATTCTGGAGCCACAGATGAACTGTGGCCCAGGAACACAGATTTAGGTTTGCTCAAATAACCATATTCCAACATAACAGTTTCATGAAGTTTTTATAGAAACAGAACAAAGAAAGTCATAAATCAAGGCGCTCTTCAGACACACTGGTGGGCTACCAGGTAAGTGGGTTACAACAAGGTGGGGACATCTCTACTGTAGGCCTCAGATGCTACCTCCATGTATTCTTAAGTCTGGGTTGGTAGAAGCTGAGTGTATACCCATTCATCCATTCTAAAAAGATTTACGTTAGTCCTAAGGATGTTAGGCCACACACAGAGGTGGGCAGTAAATGGCTATTTAGGAAGCTAAAGATGACCCAAGATATTTTGGCTCTGGACCTGCGGCATTCCAACTCTCCTCAACACTGAAGTTATAATCAGCCTTGTAGAATGTTTAACGCGGGTGCTGCTTTTTTCTGGGCACTTCAGTTACAAGAGTGACTCGGGGAGAGCTGAATGGGGGTGGGGGGAGGGATAGAGGCATTAAAGAGACATTTGTACCAACTGGCATGGAGTTCAGATTTCAGTAACAGAGCAGCCATCCGGATACCAGCCCCAGAATTGGAACATGAGAGACTGAGTCTTCAGCAGCCGCCACTGGGTGTCAGTGGATGATCCTGAAAGAGTGCAATGGCAAGATGCCCAAGGTGGGCAGTACTGAGCAAATTCCAGTACGAGAGTGGGAAGTGTTGCCCAAGTCGGGTGGGGAAAGTGGGCCACTGTTGTTTTTGTTTTGTTTTTTTTTTTATAAGCCTCATAGAGTTTAATTTTTAAAGTATGTACAAATAATACTTGGGTATAAATAAATTTGATTTTTAAAAATATTTTTATTTTTTAGCCAGGCATGGTGGCACATGCCTTTAATCCCAGCACTCGGAAGGCAGAGGCAGGTAGATCTCTTGTGAGTTCAAGGCCAGCCTGGTCTACATAGCTACAGAGAGAACTTGTCTCAAAAAGACCAAAAAAAAATTATTTTTATTTTATGTGTATTGTTTTGCCTGCTTGTATGTAAGTGCTCTGTGTGCAGTCAGTGCCCACAAAGGTCAGAAGAGGATGTCAGATCCCTTGGAACTGGAATTACAAATGGTTGTAAGCCACCATGTGGGTTCTGGGAACTGAACCCAGGCTCTCTGAAAGAATAGCCAGTGCTCTTAACTGCCAAGCCATCTCTCTAGCCCCTAAATTTGGTTTTTAAATGATCTTAAAATTAACACAAATAACTGGGTGACGGCTCACACCTTGAACCAAGCACTCAGGAGGCAGAGGCAGACAGATCACTGTGAGATGGAGGCCAGCCTGGTCTACATAATGAGTTCCAGGCTAGCTGGGGCTACAGGAAGACGCTGTTGCAAAAAACAAAACAAGACAACAAATCACAGCTAGCAGTGAACATGAACTATGTTCTCCACTTTTATCCAATCATCATATCACTGAAAATAAATAAGTTCTGGGCCTGGGGAAATGCTCAGTGTGTGGTGTGCACGCAGGAGAGCCTGGGTCAGGGTCTCTAGCACTGATGTAGGCAGCCAGTGTGGCTGTGCCCAGAGCTTGCTGGCTGGCAAGCCCAACCATTGGTGAGTGCCAGGTTCATCTTCCCAGGTACCCAACAGTGCTTGGTCTCGATGTCAACATGTTGCAAGCCTATAAAGACAGACTCAGACTCCAGAGGCTAAAACAAAGAAGAAGCAGTTTATTGAACAGGTGTATGGGAGATTTCTCTAAAGCAGGGTCCTGAACTAAGAAATATTTCAGCCTTTTGTGCCTTTTTTGTTTTTATGTCTCTTGTAGATAGCAGTATTTCTTTTGATTGGTGTTTTTAAAACATGCCATAAGAGGATACAAACGGTCTGGAATACAGGGGAGGAGGAGCAGTGAGGGCTGGAACAGGAGACCAGCAGAAATGCAGGTGCACACACCACTCATACCTTATGCTGTTACAACCACACTGAAAAGTAGCTTGAGAAAAATCAGGAAACAGGAGGCCACAACTTGGGTGAACTGCAGCTTCCTAGAGCTTCCAAGACACGTTTAAGAAACACATGCTTCTTTGGGGGGATGAGGGGAGGTTAGAGAAGATCATGTTTCCCAGGCCTCTGGCCCAGTATGTAGCTGAGGATGACCCTGAACTTCTGGCCTTCTGATGACCTGGGTTATGGTGTGCTGGGGGGCTGAACCAGGGATTAGAGCATGCTAGGCAAACCTTCCACCAACTGATCTGCATCCCCAGCTGGGAGCCAGAGCTCTGGAAGAACATAGTCCCCAGACATGACCTCTTTCAGGGAACACATTCCAGGGGCCTATGGCCTTCTATCCTGCTCTTTGCGAGCACCCCTCTGGGATGAATGGGAGGAGGAGCCCTAGCAGGTAGCCTGTGCTGGTTTTCCTGCCTGATCCATCACTATCTGAGAGCCAGGCAGTTCCAGGAACTGCCGGCTCAGTTCTCTATGGCTCTAGCTAGGAAGCTCAGCCTTGAGTCACTGGGGCTGCTGGGCTTAGCAAGAACTGGCTCCTTAGGCAGGTCAGAGAGGCTGCACAT